ACAACTTGTACCTGGCATCTGACGCTAAATTCTACTCGCTTGAAATGTCGACAGACGGGAAAGGTCAGGACTGCAGCTGGCAAACAGACAAGCAGATATGGAGCAGAATATTAAAAGCTTCTTCTGGGTGTCCCTATGCTGGATATTCTTCTTAGTGACATATTCTGAAAATGAAATGTCACTGAATTGATTTATGACGGGCTTCCAATACAAAAATACTCGGATTTTTATCTGCTATCCAAAAAATAAAATCACTACGTAAATACTTGTTCATTCCTCCTATACCAATATTCGGTGTAGGTAGACCACGCAATATGCATTTCCCGCTGAGCGCAAAGTTTTCTTCGATTACCCAGAATTGCTTAGCTAATAAAATCCGTTTTCTGTAACAAGCTTAGCAGACAGAACTTCCTACGATTCTGCTTTCGATCAGAATCGAAATCTCGAATCTGGAAATCAGAATCGAATTTTCGATCAGAAAATTCCTACGATCTTCTGTCTTACGATCTTCTGCCCTACGATCTTCTGATTTACGATCTTTTGTCCGGTTACCCCGTGAACAACTGGAAATGGAGAACGATGGCGGCCAGCCAACGAAGGTCTAGTTTCATAGCCTGACTATAGATGACAGGAGCGTAAGAGAAGGGAAATCCTCAAACCGTCATGGGTAAGCGTGCAAGCATGCGCTAGGCTAGGGCTCGATTTGCGATAAGGGGAGGTCACCTATCCGTGCTTCTATCCTCAGGATACTGAAGTCCTTCTCCTCCACGCCACAACCCCCTTCCGGGCTGGACAGGCAACTTTATCTCATGCGGGCTGCTCCCTTGGAGCGGCACCGCTGCTCCCGAGGGAGCTGCACCCCGTAGCCGGGTGCAGAGAGTGCTTGGGGGGCTGGTCGGCCTGTCCTATGGACGGGCTCAGCCCCGGCGACTCTCTAGGGTGCCTGCCCAGACCAATGTCTCCCCCTAATGCCTATCATCCTTCCGGCTCTGCAATGGTCTTGTCGACCGAAAGGGCCTAACCCAACAAAACAAAACAAACGATAAGGGGAGGTGAAGGAGCAGACTGCGGTGGTCTGACCTTGTGTGACACTGAGGAAAAATCTGAAATACGCAAGTTGTTGCCGAGGTCACTCCATCCTCCAAGTTTCATTTCCCTGCGTAAGATTCCCAAGCACTGGGGTGTTGCGAAGTTTAGACATCTGTTATTTTGTATAACGTGCAGAGATTTACTTATGACGTCATAGCTTAGTGACTTGATCTGACCTAAACTTGTGGTTGATGTCACAGGATCCAACTTGAATAAAAGTAAGGTTTGTCACGCTGATGACGCTGTGTATACAAACAAAAAAAAAATATTATAAAGCAGTGTATCGGGGGAAAATGTCAAGCAGAGCAACAAAAAGACAAAATATCCAGAGCAATATATAGAAAATAAATAAGTATCGAAAGCAAAACATCGAAGAGGCAACGCATTGAATGCAAAATATTCAAAAGGCAAAATACACTATGCAACAGTCATTTTGTTCCTGAGTAACGACCGATTTTTTTGGACTCATTGGGTCCCATTATAACCGAAATGGGCATTTGTTTTGATCTGAAAATGTTTTTCCGGTTTTCAGAGACGATTTTCGATTTTTGGCCCCGAAATTCGGTTTTTGGCCCACTGTGTCCGGTTTAATTGAGTAATCGACTCGCGGTAACTTTCATCGCCCTTCCTATGCCACAAGCTTTCGAATGATATCCGGTTTTGCATATTTGCGTGTAAAAATAACGTCATAAATCTATGTTAAAGTAAGAAAATATTGAAACATTGTAAAAATTTGACATTTTTTTTTTCGATTTCATTTCAAAATGGAGAAAAAACTAAAGGCCCTATCCAAATTCTGAGCCCAGTTCCTTGAAGAGCATTCAATTTCCGTTCGGAAGGTACTATTTTAGTGCATTTTATCGGTTTACTGTGACGTCCAGATTGAGTCACTTGAAAAACGGGCCCCCAGCCATTTCCATGACAATATGTGTTCAGTGCATGAAGAATCATTCTAACAAATGGAGGTACAGATCAAGATTCTGAGCGACAGGACTGCTCAAAAGTAAGTTCCTGCGTGTGACCCGAGGTCACAAGGGGTCAACAACATGACCTCAGTTGACCCCTCGTTGATCCTATGGCGTTAACATACGTTATCAGGTTAATGCTATGTGATATGACATAGGATATGTGTTTAGGTTAACTCAATCTGGACGCCACAGGAATCCGATAAAATGCACTAAAAAGGTACCTTCCGAACGGAAATGGAATGCTCTTCAAGGAACTGGGCTCAGAATTTGGATAGGGCCTTTAGTTTTTCCTCTATTTTGAAATGAAATCGAAAAAAAGTCAAATTTTTACAAAATTTCAACATTTTCTTACTTTAACATAGATTTATGCCGTTATTTTTGCACGCAAATATGCAAAACCAGATATCATTCGAAAGCTTGTGGCATAGGAAAGGCGATGAAAGTTACCACGAGTCGATTACTCAATTACATCGGACACGGTGGGCCAAAAACCGAATTTCGGGGCCAAAAATCGAAAATCGTCTCTGAAAACCGGAAAAACATTTTCAGATCAAAACTAATGCCCATTTCGGTTATAATAGAACCCAATGAATAAGAAAAATTCGGTCGCTTTCCAGGAACAGAAAATGTTTCATTTTTTGTTGCATAGTGATATTGAACGCAAGACATCGGAAACGAAAGTTGGAATCGACTACATAAGTTTTTAGCAAAATGCCATTGCCTGCATGGGGGAGCATTTAATGTCCCGCATTTAGATACATTTAGCTAAGTCACATTTAGATAAGGCAAACAATATATGGTACCGATAAATCTGTTTTTCGCTATTTTGTCACGAAGCCGTCTAAGCGCACCGCATCATTTTACCGATCTAACCCCCTCCACACCTGACCTGACCGCCTACAGCCTTACCCTGCCCAGTGCCCACCTGACATGACTTGACCCGGCCGCGGTGGTCCTACCCTCTCCCAATTGACCTGACCTGATCTGACCCGGTCACCCCTCCCCAGCTAACCTGACCAGTGACCTGACCCAGCCGCCGTGGCTCCGCCCTCCCCACTTGACCTGACCCAGCCGCCGTGGCTCCGCCCTCCCCACTTGACCTGACCCCACGGCGGTGGCCCTGCCCTCCCTACCTGACCTGACCTGACCCGTCCTCTTCCATCTGACCCGAACTTACCTGCCCCCTCTTTCCCACGCTGACCTGACCTGACCCGACCACCGCGGCGGCTCCCCTCCCTCCCCCAACTGACCTGACCTGACTCGGCCGCGACGGCTCCTCCCCCACCTGACCTGACCTGACCCCGTTGTGGCGACTCCGCCCCTCCCCACCGCCGCCTCGCCGTCGAGCCGTCGTCATCGATCGTCAGAGAGCAGTGCTGCCGCCCCGCGGCCCGTATTGATTTCGGTCCTCCAGCCGACAGCGGCGCACGCTCCTCGCTCCAGCACAGAGACCGGCTCCCAGTTCGTCTATCCTCGGTCGGATCGGTGTTATTGAAGGCGTAGCTGAGGTTCTACCGACTAGTTTAGTGTCCCTAGCGTGTCGGTGTTGCAGAAGAGGAGTGTGGTGCAAAGTGGGGAGACAGGAAGAGGCGACAGACCTGCGCGCGGCTCAGCTGAACGGTCTGGAGCGTCACAGGCGTCAGGTCGGTCGGCCGAACAGCTGGCCACCAGAGATCGTTAGGTGTACCAGCTCAAGAACGACGCAGTAGTTCTAGTCTCGCGAAGTGATAAACGAGCACGCGAAACCGCATTAGCGAGCCCCTGGACCAGTGAATGAGTTAACGTGAAGTTCCTGCGCATTGGCGACAGTTTTGGAAAACACTCACGTAGTGCGCACCTCCTGACCCGGCTGTGACCCGGCTGTGACCCGTCGACGCTGCAGCTGCGGTACGCTGGTGACCTTTGACCTGCCGGTGACCTCGTCGGACCATTGGATGCTCAGTCGTCGTGGCTCGACAGGGACAAGGCGAGGGGGCGATTCAGGGGAGCCGCGGAGCCAGGAGACCTTCCACCTTCACCACGGACAGCCCCGTGCGCCCCGAATCAGTGGGAGATGGTCGGGTGAGTTACCCCGAGTCAGTGGGAGATGGTCGGGTAAGTGCGTCCCGAGTCAGTTTCAGACGGTCGTGTAAGTGCGGGCCGAGTCAGTGGGATATTGTAGGACTAAGCATCCTTCACCAGGTGATCTAGTGCGCGGTCAATGTTCTAATTCAATGGCATAGCTATTAAACTAAGCGACTGCTATCGCATATTCCTCGTCTGCACCCTCGGCCTATGAATACACGTCTCTCGGCCTTTATGTGCATTCTAGAGATCTCTCATCACGGCGCAGCGTTTCGGTCTGCCAACGACAACACCGCACTCAGGCCGCGGACAGCGTTCGGGGCCTATCAGGGCCGTGTCACCTGCGAGACGACTAACACCTGGTCGGCAGGGCAGTGTCGTCTCGACAGACACCAGACTGTGAGAGACACGAATGACATGTGACATATGTGACACACGGCTGACAGCAGACATGTATGACAGCGACTGACCGGAGACCTGTATTGACGCAAGTGGCAATAAACCCATGTTATAGTTCACCATTTGCCACTTATAATCCGTCGCCCCCTATTTCTCAATCCTTGCCTGTGGTTATCACTGACCGTATCATCTGCCATCATCTGAGTCGGAACGTTGTCATCTTATGACCTTTCAGGTGGGTCTGTGTTCGTTATAATGTCACCTTATCATCGCAAGCGTTTCTGCGTGTGTCGTAACACCGTCGTTCAATGTGGTTGCATAGGCGGGAACGCCCTGGTTTTGTGTCTTTGCAGGTCAGGTTTTGTGTCGTTGCAACTGTGTGTTGTTGCAGTCGGCATTATTACATTATAACTTTGTCGTTCTGTGTCGTTGCTAACGTTACTGTTTGTATCAATGGCGTTCCGTGTCGTTCCAGGCGGGGTTGTGCGCGGCCTGCGTGATGGATTACCGGACGGCCGGTGAGCTGACGGGCGTACAGGCCGACAAGGGCCAATCGTACGTCACCGTCATCCCAGTCGAGTACGCCCGCAGGATGCCGGCAGGCCACGGATTCCTCGACGACAGATACTCCAGGTCAGATACTCCAGATACTTTGGGTCAGATAGGCTAGAAACTCTAGTTCAGATACCTACCCTAAGTTCAGTTATTTTAGCTTCAGGCCCCAGATGTGCCGTGGACGTCCCAACTGGTCGACACCTCTCCCGTGGTTCCGAATTGCCCAATTATACCTGGGCGCGTCTGGTGAGGCACGCGCTACTGCCCGTGACAGCGGACCGGCGCGGCGGTGTGCGCTGGGGAGGGGAGGGGTGGGGAGGGCAGACCGGATGCGGGCCGGAAGTTCCCTGGGCGTGTCACACAGGTGCCACCAGCTACACAGGGGCCGGCCGGTGACCGCACAGTTAAACGGAGCGGCCGGATCCGGGCGAACGGGTGTGGACTGGGGAGGTTGGGCTCTGTGTGCTGTGTGCTGTGTGCTTTGTGCTGTGTGGGGTAGTCAGAGAGCAAACCGCGGTGTTCCACCATGGGCAAACGAACCCCCATCTGGGAGCTGTAAGTACCGGACGTGGGTGACCACGGTAAGGGAAGGGGTAAATAGGGGTAGTGTTATCAGCAGACAGGTGGTCGCTGGCGTGTGCTATTAGAGGTGGGCCGATGTCCGAGGTCATCGTTGTTGTTTATGATTGCCATCAGTACTGGGGTTTGGCCTTTGAAATATGGCCAAATGATAACAAAATTGTGATTCTTGTAGCCTCCAACGAATCCCGATGTTGTTTTTGTGTGTATGGGATGACATTCAACTTTTAAGCACTATGAAGGCTAATATTTTTTTATGAACAGCTACCCACGCATTGTTAGTTCTATTCACACTACAAATAACACGTCTTTACGAGGACGATGCAGACGGCGTTTATTGTGATGATCTTACATATTGTGTAAGTGTCGAGCCTTGCGACATCTGTGCATATTTAATGTTGTTTCGGTACTCATTCTGTACTGTAGCCACGCTAGTTGAATCCAAATGGGTGTTTAAGGCCATTTTCCCATACCTGCTACATTGCATGATTACATCGAGACATCCAGGCATTTTAATGGCACGTGCACTGTACCACACTTTTCAAAGTTTAATGCAGTGCTTTAATATTGCCAGCCGTGTGGTTCAAGGGGTGTGGTTAAACGCGTTTTACCACATGCCGAGATATCCCTTTAAAGCACGTGCATTTGGGAAATGGCTTCGGCCCGCCTCGGCTAATGTTGAAGGTATTTGGGAAACGATTCGGCCCTAGGGCTTTTTGATTTTCCCAGACAAAATTTTACTGAATATTCTGAGCAGAAGAACCAATTCCAAAGAAGATATTTACGGATTGTGTGTTCACTAACAGCAACAGCAGAAGTGAGCAAAATAAAGTGACTGCGTTTTCACTTACTTTTGCTGTCAACGTAATTCAACTAAACAAGGGTATACGGTCGTCAAGTTAGATGTAAGTGAATCCTAATCTATAATCTAAGATTCGGAATCAGGTGAGCCCCTACGATTTGGACCAAACTTGGTCAGTGGATAGTACGTAACGTCCTGATTACGATGCACCCAAAATCTAAGCTCGGCCCGCCATATTTACGAAGTTACGGATGTTTGAATTTCAAGGTCATTCGGGAGAGCCCCTACGATTTCCGTCAAAATTTGTGTACGGACACCCTAGATGCTCCTCATTACGAATATCACAAAATTTAAGCTCGGCCCGCCATATTTACGAAGTTACGAAGGTTTGAATTTCAAGGTCATTTGGGTGAGCCCCTACTATTTCCGTCAAAATTTGTGTACGGACACTCCACATCCTCCTCATTACAAATATCATAAAAGTTAAGCTCGGCCCGCCATATTTACGAAGTTACGGAGTCACAAAGTTACGGAATTTCAAGGTCATTCGGAGAGCCCCTCCGATTTTCGTCAAAATTTGTATGCGGACACATTACATGCTCCTCATTACGAATATCATAAAAGCTAAGCTCGGCCCGCACTATTTCAAAAGTTAGAGATGTTTGAATTTCAGTGAGTTTCAAACGTCAGTAACTTTTGAAATAGTGCGGGCCGAGCTTAGCTTTTACGATATTCGTAATGAGGAGCATGTAATGTGTCCGCATACAAATTTTGACGAAAATCGGAGGGGCTCTCCGAATGACCTTGAAATTCCGTAACTTTGTGACTCCGTAACTTGAAAAATATGGCGGGCCGAGCTTAACTTTTATGATATTTGTAATGAGGAGGATGTAATATGTCCGTATACCAATTTTGACGGAAATCGCAGGGGCTCACCCAAATGACCTTGAAATTCAAACCTCCGTAACTTCGTAAATATGGCGGGCCGAGCTTAAATTTTGTGATATTCGTAATGAGGAGCATCTAGAGTGTCCGTACACAAATTTTGACGGAAATCGCAGGGGCTCTCCCGAATGACCTTGAAATTCAAACATCCGTAACTTCGTAAATATGGTGGGCCGAGCTTAAATTTTGGGTGCATCGTAATCAGGACGTTACGTACTACCCACTGACCAAGTTTGGTCCAAATCGTAGGGGCTCACTTGATTCCGAATCTTAGATTATAGATTAGGATTCACTTACATCTAACTTGACGACCGTCAAGGGTATAAGTACCTATCGTTCAAATGCAAATGTATTTATTGCTGGAGAACATGGTCAGCGAACTGATTATTACACTTATTGTTATTACAACATAATGCACGCAAAAAACGAACACTTTAAATGCGCGAAGCATCTTAGCAAGCCACAATGAAACATTTGATATTGTTCCAGCTGCAGGATCCAAGACGCGTTTGATTAAGCGGTTCACCCAATTTTCAGTTTTCCTCACGGTTTCCTCACTCCAGCTGGAAGTGGACTCCATATCTTCATTCTAACTTCTGACGCTTCACAATCTTCATCCTCAGCTTTTTCAAACCCTAAATAATTGGGAAGTAGGAAACTTCATCTTTCATACTCAACGCCGCCCAATAATGAAAAACACAAAAAATAATCACGGTGACTATAAATATGATCACAGGATTAATATAATATTAACACAATACTAAGAATATAATAATATATATCAAATGAATATATTAACTGTTGCGCCGGTTATACGGCATGTGGTAAATCTCTTCCCAGTTCCCAACGTTCCCAACCTTGGGCTGTGAAAATGCAATTTTATTCACCTCGGTTTTTGGCTACGGACCTCGTGCCTACCGGCACTCGGTCCTCCGCACAAAAACCTCGGTGAATAAAACGCATTTTCCCAGCCCCGGTCGGGAATATGTAGAACCACACGGCTGCTGACGTCACTATCAATTATAGTTGTGAGCTTTTTGGCAGGTATGGGAAACACCTTCCAGCCCTAAGGCCGAGAATTCAATAAATGTCACCTCGCTTTTTTAGCGAAAAGCACCTCGGGCCTAACGGCCCTCGGAGTTTTCGCTAAAAAACCTCGGTGACATTTATTGAATCATCCCGGCCCCGGGCAGGAATATATTTTGATACATGAGCATCAAATAAATAAATAGGTACCTACCTCGCTGTTCCCGTTAACCTTCATCGCTCACATGTCGCTAACGAGGTTAAAATGCAGTTAGTAACATCTTATAAGCAAATACAGGCAATATCATAAGTGGAGTTTAGTAACACATTTGCATATCATAGAGCTGTGTGACTTGTGTACTGTGTAGTGTTTGTAAACTGCAGTGTCATAGCAACTCATCAACCTTCCCCTGAGTAACGTCACCTATTCAATTATTTGTTCGTGAGCACTGACGTATGCGCTTTCCTCAGGGAGTACATGCGAGACCGGCTGCCACCGGAGTACCTGGTACGCGAGTACAAGAAGGTCTCCCGCTATGAGGAGATGCGGTACTACGGCGGGGGCGGCGGCGGGGGCGGGGGCGGTCCGCCCCTCTCCTCCTCCCGCCCCCAGCCGCCGCTCTCCAGTTACGACCTGGGCGGTCTGGGCGGGGGCGGGGGCGGGGGCGGCAGCCGGCGGCGGTTCGAGCAGCTCGACCCTCGGGTCCAGTGTTACCCGCTGTCCAACACATTGGGTCGGAGGAAGCCGGAGCACAAGATCCGCGACCCTCTGGACGTGCACGATGTCCAGCTGAGCCACTACAAGTCGTCTCATCCGCACCACGCGGCGACGCTGCACCACGGGGCCAGTATGCACTCCTCGCGCACCCCTCAGCACAGCTTACAGTCGCACATGGTACCGCCTCACAGTCAGCAGCAGCTGCTGGGACCGCCGCACAGCAGCCAGGGCCAGCACATGAGCCAGGCGCACTCGGCCCAGCAGCTGCACTCGGCGCAGCAGATGGATCCGCGCTCCAACCAGCACCCTGGCCAGCAGCAGGCCGGTCAGCAGCACCCGAACCAGCACTCGAGTCAGCAGCATCAGATGCAGCAGCTGTCCGGCCAGTCCCACCCCGGTCAGCACCCCGGTCAGCATCCTAGTCAGCATCCTAGTCAACACCCTAGTCAACATCCTAGTCAGCATCCTAGTCAGCACCCTGGGCAGCACCCAAATCAGCACCCCGGACAGCACCCTGGCCAGCACCCATCCCAGCAGCACGTGCCTCCCGGAGCCCGCTACGATCCTCTGAAACATCAGCGGCTCTACGACAAAGGTCTCTACGCCGACATGATGAAGGAAAAGCACGACAAGACCATCTACAACGAGCGGATGCGGGAGACCCACTCGGAGCCCAGCGTGCTGGGTCTGCACGCGCACGGCCGGCGCACGCCACCGTCGTTCGCTCCTCCGTCTGTGAGCATGCCGCCGCCGCTGCCGGTCAGTGTGCCGCCGCCGCTGCCGCCGACTCAAATCCTGCCACCGCCAGCCGGCTACCAGAACCAGCCGACCAAGAGGCCGCCGAGTCCCGCACCGCCGGCCCTGACCGCCCAGCAGGCCGGGCCCATACCGGGGAAGAGCCACGCACCCACACCCAGCAGGAGGAAGAAAAAAGGTGAGGACGGGAAGGAAAAACTAGATAAAGCAATGTGATAGAAGCAAGATAAATGAGCCCCGTGTGACTACCCTCAGAATTTGATTTTTGCTTTGGGAGTGCTTTGCTACGTTTTGCAAATGTAGACATTACTTTTTGGCGATATAAATGTATTATAGAAATAGGTAGTTTTGATCATGAATGATCATCATAACCAAGGCCGTATCTTCAGAACGTCTTCAACGGTTTCAGAATATCCAGTCTTCTTGGCATTATCCATAATATTTGACGTTTTGCTTCTTGAATATTGTTCCAGTAATCATGTAACATTGCTGAGCTTATCTTTTAGCTACAGAATGGTTGTTCGTCTCAAATTGAATATCGCAGCCTCAGGTAAAACTAATTGAAACAAGATTAGACATTAGAAACACAAAGGTGCATAGAGCGCAATTACCATGATGTAGACGAACGTAAATGGGTGTGTTTAGCTGAGCTTGCGCAAAAATGTAAGTACGTATCGCAATATAAATTTGCTACACCGGCCTTTGCACGAACCCGGGAATCAACCTCTATCGACCCCCGTTACATAAAGGAGGCTGCTTCTTGATCTCCATCTACGACTAGCACTTGTCCCTATAGACACACCAGACTCACCTCTCTCTAACCCCCCCCCCTTCCCGTTTTTTTTTCAGTGGCGCCACTGGAGGTGTGCGTGTACCTGATGTCGCAGCAGGCGGTCCGGCTGCAGGCTGACGACGGAGCAGAGCTGACGGCCACCCAGCTGCAGCAGTGTGTCCTGGAGGAGGAGGACCTGGGCCTGCCGCCGCTGGCCGCCCAGGTGTTCGGAATCTGGATGACGTCGTCACATCTTGGTGAGAGAGGGAGAGGGAAGAAAGGGGAGGGAGGGAAAGGAAGGGGAAGAATGGGAATAGGAAGGAGGAAGGGGAAAAGAGGGACGGATATGGGAAAGAAGTGGAAAGCCGAGCCAGAGAGAGAGAGAGAGAGAGAGAGAGAGAGAGAGAGAGAGAGAGAGAGAGAGAGAGAGAGAGAGAGAGAGAGGGGGGGGGGGAGAGAGAGAGGGAGGGAGGGAGAGAGAGAGAGGGAGGGAGGGAGGGAGGGAGATAGAGCTAGGGGGAAGGAGAGAAAGAGGGGAGGAGAGCTAGTTGGTGTCAGGAGCCTAGCGGCTGAGTAAAAATAATATTGTATCCAAGTGAGCTTCCGACGGCTGTGACATTTGATGATGATTTCATTTATTCAGCACGGTGCGATGCTTGACATTTTGTAATTGAGCACTCACCTATATGACTGTCAGTCGCATGGTCAATCGGTCCACCCGGCGCTATCAATTTAAACTGTCACTGCAATATTCGTGACGTCCCAACATTTTGAAACGAATCAGTGAACCGCGACCGATGCCACCGAAGTTACGAAACTCAAATGTACAAGTAGCATTTAGCCCAGGTTATGTATTTCATTATCTATTTACGGCATTATGGATTATGATTTGTGTATGGAACGCACTTCAAACAAGTTCCTTTCGATATTGCTTGTACCTATCTATTGAGCACGTTGTGTACCTATGTATTTCTTCGTATCACGGATGATTTCCCTAATGTGATCATGTAAAAAGGAAACAATGGTCCAATCTTACCAAATGCCGTGAATGCGCATTCACGCGCAGTTCCGATTAGATTATTATTCTTGACTTGTTTGGAAGCGTCAAAATCGTTTCCAGTTTACTTTCTACTATTATGATTTCTCTCACGTTTAAAATTCCAAGGTGTACACGGCCAATCACACGGTTTTGCTCGCTCCGGCAGAGATCCAGCTCAAGCCGCACCACAAGCCGTTCCACATACGCCGCGAGTGGCGCACCCTGCTCAGCAAGTACTCCTCGGCCGACGAGGAGCAGATCCTCAAAGACGAACCCATCGTCTCCTTTCAGCGCAACGTCTTCTTCTCAAAGAAGGACGAAATGAAAATACGGTGAGGATTCAATGAGTTTTAGTGCCAGGTGCCAGAATCACTCATGAATGCGTGCGTAACAAATGTTAGGTAAGGGACCTAGGCGTAATAGCATTGTAAAGGTTTGGTCTCGCACGATACATGGTGCACTGGCCTGCGCGCCTCAGTCGGTCTGTGTTGTGAGCGATGCATTACACATGCCATCCCCATGACTTCAGAGACCCGAGAGTCCTGGAGCTGTTGTACGAAGAGGCCAAGTTCAACATCCTCGAGGGTCGCTATCCGTGCGAGGCCAGCGACTATGACATGCTGGCCGGTCTGCAGGCGCGACTCGAGCTGGGGGCCTTCGACGCAGAGATACACACGCCAGACTTCTTCAGGTGAGCTTCCCAGATATTAGCGACACCTTGTAACGCACTCTCGAGTGACTTTCCTGCAACGAATTTGATGTAAATAATGAATGTGACGATGAATTATTCGGAAGGAACCTACCTCCATTACTGATTTTTGTGCGTGCTTATTACATGTTTATGTCTGAAATTGTGTCACCACGACAATCGGCATTCCTCCTTAGGTCAATTCAATCATTGTAGATTCAATAAGACACGAGCCTACCATCATCAACACACTTGATGATGGTCAAGTGTGTGACCTCCTGTCACAGTGTGTGACAAGTGTGTGAAGATGTGTGACCTCCCGCAGGTCTCACATCTCCGAGTACCTCCCAGACCACGTCATCAGCCACAGCTGGTCCCTCATCAGCAAGATCGGAGGCAAAGCCAGCGCCGAGGCACGCATCATCGAACAGTTCCGCAGCATACCGAGCGGTGCCACGCGCCGCAAACTCGTGCGCAAGTACCTCGAGTTCTGCTGGTCGCTGCCGTACTACGGTAGCGCGTTCTTCCACAGTCAGGTGGAGCAGCCGACTCGGTCTGTGCTCTCGGTGTTCTACCGGCCCGACGTGCCCGTGCTGGTCTCCATCAACGGACACGGCGTGTATGTGATGGACAAGGTGGCCAGGGTGAGTTGTGGGAGCGGGGGTGGTCGGAGAGGGATAGGCAAGAAGTGAGCGCTTGAGATTGGAAACAGGTTGAAAATACGCCTACTTTTACTTTTTTGTAGACTTACTTTTTGGGAAGTTCTGAGTTAAAGTTAGAAGAGATTTGTTATCTGAAAAGTTCGTCACAATTTTCCAACTTTCGTATAAATCACACGTTTGATTCGTATCTGTATGTATGGAAGCATGATATACATTATCAACATGCCCCTCTAACAGTCTTTCCATTTCCTTCAGACGGTGCTCTTGGGCCTGAGTTACGACGAGCTGGCCTGGGACTTTGCGCGGCCGTGCCAGGAGAACATCAGGGACTGCATGCCGTGCATCTTCCTTCAGTTTCAGGCGGTCGAGTACGGCATGCGCGTGTCCAAGGTGCTGCAGGTGTTCTCCAAACAGGTGAGCTACTTCAATTGAGCGGGCTCAGTTAGAATTAGAACGGGCTTGAAAGAGAACTTGACTGAAATCGGGAAGAATAAAAACGGGAACTTCTTTCAATTTTGCACGTCTATTCTTATATTCTGCATACATGTTTCGAAAAATAAATTTGAACGATAACTCGACCTGTTTCGTGGATCAACGTCCATTTAACACTCTTGTTCAATGACACTGCAATGGAAAAAATAGACCTAAAATATCGAATATAAGCAAGTATAACTCTGCAAATCAGCAATATTCTGGCCGATTACACAGGTCCTCTCCCTCTTTCCTTCTCTTTTTTCGAACGTTGTTCCATCGGCAGTCGGCTCTCATGGACGCGCTCATCTCTTCATGCGTGGAGGAGATCAAGCGGCGAACGCTGCGCTACGGCGACGAAATGGACGCACCTCTGTTCGACGCGTCCGACGTCGACGACGCCCTTGTGCCGCTGACGACAGTGACCCGTCGAGAGATGCCCGACAGTTGCCTGAGCAACAAGCTGCACCGCCTGACGTTAGCGACGTTCAATGAGGATGGCGAGTGTATCAAGAAAATGGGCTCGTGGTCGTTCAGCAAGTAGCAGTCATGGAGATGGGAGGACGAGGGGTAGGTCGAGTCGGAGGGGAAGGAGGGGAGTGGTAAAGTGTGTGTCGGGGGGGGGAGTCGTGGGTTTGAAATATGAATACCTCTTTTTGAGACCGGTGAACACAGTGAAGTGGAAGAAAGGTTGGGATGGGATTTGCTTACAGTTTGGAGATTTGTCATATTGTATTATATGATTCGCAACTAAATGACAAAGAGGATGTGTATTGTGTAATCACTGATGTATATAACTGCATGTTTGTAGGGGCTGGATTTGAAAGGGCTCGAAGCAGCCCCATGAAACCGATCAATACTTATATGAAGGATTACCGAAATCTCAGAAGCATTACACATATACACCAATGACTGCCTCGGAACCGCAGCTGTGCCTGTTTTGCGGTGCGAGTCTGTGGGGCTCCTCGCCGCTCGTTTCTCGGTACCAATGTCACAGTCGGGTCCGCTGGTCACTACTGGGTCGGCGGCTCACTGCAGCACGGTCTTATCTGCTACACCTGCCCGGCTGGACGTGGCCGACGCTCATTGGCCGGAGCGTCCGATGGGAGACTGAGATTTGCCTGTCGTGAGTTCGAGAATGGGTTTATATGGTGAATGGTGTTGTCAGGAACGGCAGTGACTGCAGTATGCATGATGACCCTTGAGGCTATTCGATTCGATGTCAGCATTCAACCCACTGTGATGCATCTATGTTTCTAAATTTTCCCAAAATGGGCTTCAGCCTTCACATATGCATAATTACATTGTTATATTTACACGCATTATATCCATGGGTGAAAAGGGAAACTTGAATATTGCGTAAAAATACTTACACTTTTCGGACTTTCTATTTACTTCTACCTCTTTTGAGTCCTAGGTATATATTAGTTGCATGTAGGTATGCAATCAATTTCAATTGACGATTTCTTCCGGCATAATATAAATTTATGTCGCCGCAAATAACTTTTTTCATAATGGCATTACCTACCAGCAAAATTTCAGTCATATCTGTAATTGTGTTTATTGTTGTTTCGAGAGAAGCAGTGTGCTAGGTGCGTGATATGTCATGGATGCATGCCTGACGGTGATTGGAAGAGCAGATAATGTGAACACATAATGAAGATGCTGTAAATACTCGTTTATGCTCGTGTGCAACGCTAGTCCCTTAGTAATGTATGTCATACAATATGTTGAACGCAAATACACTTGTATTACAAACCAATATAGGTAGTCTATAAAAAAGCCAAAGTGAGTAGAAAATGTAAAGTAATGTTCAGTATGAGACGGTAACTTTTGTTGGCACCTTTCGGTGGACAGGATAAGGGCTTATAATATTTAGGTTCTTTTCATAGCGCAACAGCGTACCATTCCATTTCGAATGAGCTAAAAAACCAATGCGTTTATTATAGTGTTATGTATTTTCGCTCGTCAACAACGATCATCCAAGCACACAAATAAAAAGAAAAACAATGTCACGCCGATACGTTTTAACATACCATCTGAACACATGAGGCACTTATAAATATAATATGTAGAGCGGTTAACACGCGCAGTGGAAGGGTTGCGAGTACTACGCCCAGTGGAAGGGGGGGCGGATGTCGCCCCCCCCCCCTAAGATCTCAGCTCCCATTGGAGCTGGAAAAACGAAATTTGGAGGGTAGGTGGGGGCCATGGGGAACTCTGTTGTGTGTGAATTTCATGACCCTAGGTCAATATCTTTAAGGTCAAATGAGGTCAAATGTGGTCAAATCTGCCATATTAGCGACTTTTTTGCGTTTACACGCCGATAACTCAAAAAGTAACCGGCCGATTTTTTAAAATCTTTCACTATACGAAAGAACCAACATTTGTGAGTATGTATGGTGAATTTCTAGATAATCCAACAATAAATATGGCAGTTAGAACCCTGCTAAGGGCAAGATGTCGCCGGCTGAAGCGGCATCGGGACAGGTAGCCGAAATTTCACATTGATATTATGCTTGCGGCGCGAGTTATTGGCGAAAAACAGGAGGGGTGGGCGAAATCCACCCCCCCCCCTTCCACTGCGCGTGTTAATCCTTATTTACATTGATAAATTATATAGTTTCTGTACCCGGATAAAATCAGTCGTCGGATATCATTTCATTGATACTGATACACTAAACAATAGAATGTATTGTCACAATAACATTTTTTCTAACAACATTTGTCAACAGTAAAATTGAAATGTACCTATCTGAAAGCTTAAACATATATAACCACACTAAGTCATACTTTTAAAGCCATACTTTTGTGTTGCAAGATATCGCTCAGTTTTGTCGTGCTTAAATAATCAATAAGACGTTCTTGCAAAGATCATAACGCTGCAAGAGTATTAGCTACTTAAATGCTGATTCTACATGTCAGCTAAATTTGCATTCAGCAATCCAATCATAAGCACGCACGAATTTCAACTAAGCAATACTTTGATGTCTACACGCACATTTTGTGTTATCTTCACAACTACCGCAAGTTCAACATCATTCTGAAAGATCGATAACATCCCGACGCTCACTGATGTCCTGTGGCGCCATCCATGACAAAATTCGTGGCATCACTCGTGACATCATCCGTGACATCACTCGTGGCTCTCTCTGGCTGAGCTCCATTAGTTGGCTCGTGAGATGAGGTCTCCGACGGCGCTGACCACGGAGGCGGCATTCAGCGAGCACGTGCCGTAGGTCTGGGCACAGTCGGCTCCCGAGCGGCCCACGTTGGAAGCCTCCAGGATTGAGGTACCATCCAGCCACGAGGACAGCAGAGGGTTGCTGGAATGGGAGAGAAAGTTGTGAGCGGGGGCGGTGTTGAGAGAATCTGGAGAGGCACTGAATTATTTCTGGAGTATTACTGGAGCGCTACTCCAACAGCACATGGAGCGTTACTGAAACATGACTTGACGACCCTGGTGCATTCCTTGAATGCTAAACTGACGCCATGAGTGTGTAAAACTCCACAGCGTGACACGAGCAGGCACCGAAAGAGCAACTACTGACCGTATCATGACCCAGCGGGGTGAGACCGTGACCTGTTCAGCCCGACCACTGCAATGCGCGTGTTAAACAATCTGTTTGCACAACACCACTCTGTCTCGCTTCTGTGACACCGGGCTGTGACGAAAGTGTCACGGCCGCCTGACCCCCGACGTCACGTCACGGGTCACGGTCACCGGACCTTAGCACAGTGGTCTGAATGCACAGCTCCACGACCGTGAAAGATAGCGTCACAATGCTTAGCTCGTGGCCTTGGACCAGACAAGTTGACAATGGACGAGAGCGCACACTGATATCAATATCTTTTTACAATGCCTCTCGTTTTCAAATATCACTCTCTACTCTCACAGCTCTCTCTCTCCCTCTCTCTCTCTCTCCCTCCCCCTCCCTCTCTCCCTCCCTCCATCCCTCTCTCTCTCTCTCTCTCTCTTCCTCTCTCTCCCTCCCTCTCCCTCTCCCTCTCTCTCTCTCTCTCTCTCTCTCTCTCTCTCTCTCTCTCTCTCTCTCTCTCTCTCTCTCCTCTCTCTCGCTCTCACTACCCTCACCTGGAGATGCCGTCGACGATGAGGTCAGTGGAGTCGGCGCGTCCCTCCACGATGTCCAGCGCGGCCCTCCGGACGTACGAGCAGACACCGAGCTGCATACAGGAGGTGGCGTCCACGTCGTGTTTCTGCAGTGCCTCGTCCAGCAGGCTCATGAGAGAGGTCAGGTCAGCTCCGCCTGAGGCAGGGGCAGAACAGTGCAGCTGTTAGAGAAGGAGATAAAATCGGAGACACAAAATGGAGGAAAAAGAGAAGTAAGTAAAAAAAAGAAGAGAAAGAGGGTTTCAGAACGTCTTAAAAAAAAACATGGAGCTATCATATTGTGTGCATAAAATCTGATATAAAGCATGTGTAAAATAAAACAAGGTAGATCAATCATCACTTTTTGAAGAAAACTATGACGAGTTAGAAAGACGACATCTACTGTGAATACCGTTCGTTCACTTCAAAGTACGTCACCGCAGTTTCCGGTTACGTCACCACAGTTCCGGTCAGTATTGGTCAGCTGTTGCTGGTCTCTTTCGTCAGTTGTTTCCGTAGTCTGAAGTTGTTGGTATCCATTCCAAAGTCTCCGCAGTTCGTATAGTCGCTGTTGTCTGCGGTCGCTGCTGAATGCTGCTGTCATCACAGTCCCTGTCTGCTTACACAGGAGTCTCTCACGGTCTCAGGTCAAGGTGGGCTACAAAGATGTCCTTTGCACGGATACGCCCTAGTCTATTATGAACACATGTCACTAAAATATACTATGATGATGGCCAACTGACCACACCTGACATAGTTATAGGCAGAGTTAGTTGAGAACGAATTGAATATTGTCATGCAATGATGATGGCTAAAATGTTTCGAAGTTCTTATAGGCTCTTCCATAGTCACGAAGTCACATTATCACCGCCTTGTGTAGCCTGTCGTTCCCGGGTGCACCAGACCGTCTAAGCCCGCAACAAAACAACAACATAACGCAACGCATGACGTTGAAAGCGCGCCCCAGCTCAGCATTACGGAGTGTGACACATCGTCACGCCGTCACAGAGCGCTGCAGTAAGTCACGGTGCGTCACGAGGCGTGACGCGGAGTTAGGGCTGGCTGGCAGACGCGGTCATTACCGTAACGATGTGCTGTAATTCTTTCCAGCTGTGAGCGTTTGCGATACGAGCAGTTCATCGCATTACATCTTATTGTAAATGAACTAAATGTCTCATGGGTACAGATACAGATCGCATTATATTACATTCGGTATGAATGGCATATGTGGAGCAGTTTCACTGTCATTCTTTAGAATGGAGATGAAAAGATATTGAATGCTATCTATGTTGATCTGGTCCTGAGAAAGAAAGTGTGACATCTGATAGCAAGCTCTTTTTGGTTGTTCACAAAGTGGAAAATGTAAAATACTTTCAAGGATGCTATGGGTCGCTGCAGTTGACTGTTGAAACCAGATGTGGTTCGCTGCCTGCAATATTTTGGTGTCATGCGAGAGCATGCCAAGCTCTGAGACAATAGCTGAAGTTGTAATAATAGGCTCTTGATTCATTTTAAAAATGCATTTCATGGAACGAGCTAGCGTAAAAAAAAACTCTTCATTAGATAGCATACCAAAGCGTTGGGTTAGTTACCAACGCAGCGCAAAGCATTTTTTCCATTTTGCAAACGCACCAAAAACAGTGTCCTATCGCATACCAAACATTGGGCTCAATCCTGTCACACCCTGCCCTGTTCCACCTCATACGGTCCTGTCCCATTCCACTCTGTCTCGCCCCACTCTGTCCCGTTCTATCCCATCCCATCCCGTCCCGTCCCATCCCTTCGCCTACCGTCCTCAGAGCGGCCGTATCCTCCCAGGTTGAGGAAGCTGGAGCTGCCGAGTCCGAACAGCTTGGAGGCGATCAACGGCACGATCACGATGGTGCCGATCACCAGCAGTACCGTGATCACCACGGCCGGCAGGTTGGCCTGTAACGTGACCGAGTGTCAGCACCAATCAGACTGGTGCCCTTTATTTGGGCGGGGAGGAAATCCGCAAATTTATTTCCGGTTAGATTGTTTTATAGATCGGAGCTATGCTGGACCGATTAAACCAATGAAGAGAGTTAATGACTATGCGAATACGCACTTTACCAAACAACCAAAGCGCTTACGTTCATACATAACAAGGAATACCTACATGAATAAGCGAGCGAAAAAATACAATATGATTTATTGAATGAATGACGAATGACAAACGAATAGAAACCTGAACGACAAATAGCGAACGACGAATGAATGAATGAATACATCTATGCATGTATGAATGAATGAATGAATGAATGAATGAATGAATGAATGAATGAATGGATGAATGAATGAATGAATGAATGAATAAATGAATGAATGAATGAATATAACCAACGCACCTGAAGTCCGTAGAAGAGATTGCCAAGATCGAAGAAACGGGGCGATGCAGCCGCCGTGGACTTGGTCTGATAGCTGGCTACATCAGAGGTCGTAGCCGTGGGCTGATAGCTGCTACTAGCGGCCTGAAGAAAAAGGCAGCCATTGGTTAAAAAAGCTGGCATTATTTGCAAAAAAGGTATTCGGAAAATTATGCAATCTGCGAGAAACATTGCACTAGAATGAGCTTTAGAATCGACGAATGAGAAATATAATTCACGGTCGTGATCTTGAACCAGAAAACATTTCCAAAAATGAGCCCTTTCATGCCCCAAATGTGCGCTTTGATAGAAGTGCCAGATCACAGCTCGTTGCATGCGCCAGCGTTCTCACCTGGTAGCTGGAGGTGCTGGCGGCGGTGTGGCTGTCGGATCTCCTCTCCAGAGGTACGGCCACCGACGGCTGGAACCCGCCGCTGAAGAACGACTCGCTGAAAAACGGGAAATGGTTTGCTTCTAACGTATTCTCTTATATTGCGGCGTTTAGGTATTTTTAGTTACGTTTTTGACGTACTGGGGTGACCTATGTCTTACATACGTTTGATGTCATGAATAGATAAAAGTATGCTTAGTGCCGTTTGATCTAGTGAATTTCCTGATATTGGATGACAATTTATGCAGATGATATCAATTCTTATAATTAATTTCGCAGTAAATAAAGCTTCTTTCTTGCAATCGAAATAAAATGATATTAAATTAATTTAAGATTATAATCAAAAGTTGTGAAGGTATAAATCAATCGGCAGGTCGATATATCAGTGCGATGTAAAAGCTAACATTACCATGGTATCGAAAAAGATGTGTTTTGTTTGTGGTGTATATTATCCTTACTAGTGATGTCAATTACGGAAAATCGAAATACCGATACCAAACCAAATACCAACCAAAACCACGGGAAAATACCGAAACCAAACCAACTTGGGAAAATGAGGGAAATACCAACTTATTACCAATTTCTTAGCCTCTTATACATTGGTGAGGGCTTATGATACCAACAAAATACTAAACACATTACGATTGAAATACCAATTACCAAGTTGGTATCGGTTTGGTATCGGTATACCAAAAAGTTGGTATGCGATTGACATCTCTAATCCTTACCTTCCGCCGTCGATCTTGCCTCCCCGGGCTCTCTGCGACACTGGCACGGATGAAGCCGCCGCTCCAGCCACCAGCAGCGCGCACACAAACACTGGCGAGGAGAACATCTCGACGAGTCGGTACGCCTGGTCTGACCTGATATGACCCGGGCTGGCCTGGCCTCTGTCTTATAACACTGAGTACAGGTGAATCTCACTGTGTCACCGACACTGCAGCTGTGATCGCTCTGTGCCGGCTCCCGGCCGGCCCGGCGGCTATATTCAGGCCGTTCTGGTCCGAGGAGGCCTCTCACCGTGTTGCCACACCGCCCCTGGCCGACGGTGGCCGCTCCTGCTCCGGTGCAGTATGACCGCCCCTCCCCGCCCCGCTGCACGCTCAGGTCACGCCCCGGTCACACAGGGGGACAGCAGGTTCGCTCGTGCCAGCCAAGGTCGTCGACATGCCCTGCTGCCGCTGATCTTACGCACTGGCCTGGACCGTGTCGCAGCAGGATGTGGCGAAACGTGCGCGGCCCGTGCCGACGCAACAAGTGGAGCAGTTAATTGTTGAATAAATATTGCACAATACTCTAAATGGTGTCACAGGCATACATTTCTAACCTGGCTATGACTTGGTGACAAGCTGATAAGTGACCTAGAGATTCATTCTTCAGTCATCCGGCGTTTTCCCTGCAGCTCTACAAAGGGTGAACCGCAAAGGGGAGAGCGCTAGCACGGCTGGGGGGGGGGGGGGCTGTTCTTGGCGGGCTGAGCCGCAACAGGGCCATTCCATCATTGCTTGCCATCAAATTCGCATTCGTGGTTTCTAAATGGACTGTTTAGACCGAAAGATTACAACAAAACGTAGCTTCGCGACATGAAACGTGAAATAAAACGTAATTAACAATAACACACGTAGCGTTATTGTCAGTTATGGATTTAAAAGCACTCGAGAACTTGAACCCGACACGTGTAAGGTTCCGAGGAAATGGATCTGGGATCTGATCCTGCACGGAACATGATCTCGGATCCGTTCGGATCATAGATCCAGCCCTTTAATTTGTCGAGTGATCCGTAGGGATCATAGATCCGAGTCTAATTTTTTGCTTGAGATGCAGTGAGGTCATAGATCCTCACTTATTTTTTGTCAACGCATAAATCCCAAAAAAAAAATCAATCGTTGCATGCTCACACTAACGTTCTGTTTTAGTGATTTTATGTGATTGCACATCATAATCTATAGTTTTGTGGCACTTATAACACGCGCAGTGGAAGGGGGAGTCGAAATTTCGCCCACCCCTCCTGGTTTTTGCAAGTATTTCACGCCGTAATCATTCAAAGGTTTCAGTACCTGCCTAAAATTGAATTACTCATCTTGCCTTGAAAGCAATACCTAAGTAAATCGGTCTATAACTTTTCTATGGTTAGAGGGCTCAGAGGGACGTAAAGGAAAAAAAAAAATCCGGCCGGAGCGGCGGCGCGGTGGCTTTCGCCGGCCGATTCTGGCTGCCAGCGCCGGACGGATCCGTCTTTTAATTGCGCTTGTTACCGCTGCTAATGATCGATTCGTGTCAAAATCTCTGTGAAGTCGAAATTTGTAACCACTAAAAGAGTATTGTTATAGGTAGTCAGCGTCCGGTAGCTCGTCCATGGTAGGAATACTTCACGAAATACGTTCGTGTTATTGACATTTGACACTCTGGGCTCGTAGTCGGCGCTTGCAATTCATCCTTCTTTTAGGCTCTAGAGTGTACTTGCACCTATTGAAAAATAATAAATAATGAAAGATGTTACATCGTACACTTTTTATACTTACAAGAATATTTTTATCGATCCAAGGAAATTATGTCGTATATGTAGGTAGTAGATACCTATACTTAGCTCATATCTACCAACAGACAAGGAAGCATCCAAATAAGCGTTAGGCGGCACGGGCGGACATCGATAGCAGCGCCTCTATCGGTCACTAGGGAAAGCTGGGCTGTAGGCGACGAAATACCGGCTGAGTTGTCACACGTTGAATAGGTTTATAGCCATCCGTCTTGTGAACAAGTTGAACATTTGCCTTTAATATTTCTACAGGCAATTTTAGAAGTGTCTTCACATGGATTACAAAACCGTTTAGATTATTGTATTCACTTCAAGCCTTCCCTATTGTTCTTGATGATGCAGGAACTATTTCTACTTAGTGTTTCTAGCTTAGTAAAAGAACATACTGTGCAAACGATGAAAAAAACATAAATGGACGATTTTAAATGCAATTTTCTCTAACAATTAATGGTAAATTCTCTACATATCAAGGAAAAGGTGCATGCTAACTGATAATTTAAAGTTCTTGGGGCCAGTTGTTTTCTTCTTTTCTTACGTCGCCCCAATGGCCGCGAATACACTTGTGATAACGCCTATCGGTTCGTCAGCCCTCAGTATATACCAGACTCGACCCGTGAGAAAATGTTCAGCTGTCACAACGAACCTGATAAGACCATATCAGCGTCTGCATTGCGACTGAATGCACTTCAGTAGACTGCTGCGCCTCGCATTGCTTTACCAGGAGCGAAATCGCGGAAGAAGTATCAGACGCCAGTTCAAGCTACTCCGCAAATAGACGTAAACGGGAAAGATGTCTCTGTATGGGATGCTGCGCCTGCTCTTGGTCATAGGTAAGAATTCGAGTGCAGGTGTTATGCTAGCCCGCCGCTACGCCGAAAACCCAAGGGGTAGGTACTTACATATACCCGATCTCGCTATTTCGATTTACCACACGTCAAGCTCTCGGTTTGGAGAACGGACGCATTAGACTTAGAGTCAATTATTCGTTTTGGAATAAACTTATTGCGAAATAGCCAGTAGCCGTCCAACCAGCATAATCATCCAATTTTCCGTTGTACTTATGTGGTTTATTCAAGTGCAACTGGTGGCCACGCTTTGAGCGTTGCCGACAACGGGCCATCTGTACGTAATGGCTAAATGGCCATCTGTATTCGGTTGGTGGTGGGTGACGACCGCTGCCATGCCGGAAGGGATTGTAATAAAAAAGCAATTCGCAAAAAAGTGCAACTGGTGACATTGAGGTTGGTAGCTGACCGGGCAATTCTGGCCACTCTCTTTTCTTAGCCAGCTGTCCAGCTCACCTTCAACGAAACACATTTCTAGACGACAAGAAAAGATGCACATTGCACACATTCTATACTGTCATACATTCCCGCCCCGTTCGACAGGCGCCGCCCGTGCCACGTCCTTCATCTCCGTCCCGAGTGACGTCACCCTGTCACGTGACGAGACGGCCCAGCTGACCTGCGAGCTGGACGAGCCGGTCACGTGCGCCTGGCGGCTGGAGGGGACGGCGCTCAACAGCAGCGGCTTTCTGAACACGCTGCCGCCGCCACTGGTAGAGGCCGCGTCACCTCTGCACCCGACCGACTGCAGCGTGACCCTGACCCACCCGGACGAAGACTACACGGGCAGATACCAGTGCGCGCCCTACACGAGCGACGGCGCGCAGATCCTCAGCGGATGGGCGGCGGTCCACGTAGGTATCTGAGATTGTGTGGTTTGTGATGGTAGAGTGGCTGACTCCGCTCTGAAAATGGATCCTTTAACTATTCGATAAGCTCAATAGTTATTTTAGATTATTGGCCACTGGGCACTGTTAGACGTACCTACCTACGTACATAAAACGCTTCACTCAGTTGGTTCGCCGTCTCATTCATGATGTATTTATAAGTCACTCATAGCCACGCCCGATATTCATGAAATTAGGTACGGTGACTGCGACGCCCATGGGCATCCACATTTCAATCCTCCTTTCTTCCCAGGTCGAGTCGAGTGACGTATTCACGTGCCCGGAGGAGAGCGGCACCTACCTGGACGACTACGACTGCCACTACTTCTATGTCTGCATCGGCGGGACCCCTGTGCACGAGATGTGTCCCGACCCGCTGGTCTTCAACCCGAGCCTCCTCAACTGCGATTACGTGGAAAACGTGCCCGAATGCCAGTGATGATACCATGGAAGATCGTCTGAGCTAAAAGACATAGAGATCGAAATCAAACGGCACTACTTTGTAACTGGCTATGTGTAATAAACATTTCTCGCCGCCAGTGTCTGTATACCGGTTTCTAATGTTCATGGAAAATGAATTTATAGGTGTAGCGTAGGGACAGGTCGCAACCACGAGCTGCCGCGGCCAACGATCTTATCTCGGGTCCGGGGATGGCGGGATCGTTCGGAACATGCGGCGTCTCAGTCTAATGAGAGCCTATTCGTGCAGACGGATACTTCGTGTACGTGATTAACATTTTACAATGCTCGTTTGTAAAACAATAGGTAAGTAGGTAAATGCCATTCTACGGCCAATGTTCGCCGGACCATTTGGTTTTGCACACGTGAGCTACTGTCGCTACTGTCGATGACGAGGTAGGCCTAAATGCGAAAGCCGAAACACGCTGTTTCGCTGTTTCGCCCATTATCAAACCAAGGCCGGATTCGATGTCTTCCGGACGTTCCGGACGACGAAGATTCTACTTCGTCCGGCCAATGGCGAATTCGGTAGTCGCGGCCCGCAGCCAAGCCCTCGATGTCGGATGTGATCTCGAACGGCATTGGCCGGACGACGTAGAAATAATCTTCGTCGTCCGGGAGACATCGAATCCCGCCAAAAATCGGCGTCGTTTTAAATTTGAATTTGAAGATTCAAAGAAGATTAAAAAATATCAAGATGGATAGAATAGTGCTATTGATACGTCATACGACCAGTAGTTAGGTACCTACTGCTCTGCAGGCTAACTGCACCGGTGGCCGTGGAATAAATTATTTTTAGCAGTGCTTTAAAGGGACCCTCCCACCTTCAAAAAAGTTAATGAATTGGCATGAAAGTGATGTCGCTCGGTTCAGGAAGAGCGAAAACGAATATCAACCAAATTTCATCGAAAAATATTCACCGGTTTTCAAGATATTAGACTTTTACTATTGTTTACTTTCTGAGATCTCCGCTGTTCCTAGCGACTTTATTTGAAAGTGCGGCATTTGTTGCGCGCAAAGCAGCATATACCACCGCGTGCTACCAAACGTTTTAGTAAAAGATTTAAAAATCGTTAGACCTCCGCTGACGTCACAAATTCTAAGGGGGCATACCAATGCATTAGCCCCTTAGAATCCGAAAACTGCAAGTTTGAAATTCCATATCTCCGAATTAAAGCATTTTTCGATGTTGTGAGTGCCCAAACCGGTATTTTCAGGCCATGGCCACCAATTTGGCTATCTCAACTCAAAACTAATGTAAAGGTGGGAGCTGCAAAGGCTGCAAATATGACGCACATACGATGAATTTGCGAACTCTGGCGCGATCAAAAAAATTGGACGCCGGTGAAAACAGGGCGCCGGAGGGCATATTAGTCACGTGACATTTGAAGCTTCTCCCCCTCCGTGCGGCCTTCTACATGCAAAACATCACGTGTAAATTTCACGAACCTTGATCAAATCGCCCCAGGCGCCCTGTTTTCACCGTCGTCCAAAAAATGTACCTGTCCCTATCTTCTATATTTTTTTTTTCATTTCTATATTTCTATGTGTACGGACTACAATTTGATATTACAAATTTCTATGTGTACGGACGGTGTTTCTACAAGTACGGACGAGGCTATCTAAACGGGTAAGTAAAAATACTATTTACTTGAAGTTGTATAATTTCGTGTTGGTATCTTATTCTTATTTTGAGTGTTATGGTTAAGGAATTAGGTACCTACTTGACAGGTACTTGCTTCGTGGACGTTGCAGTTGTCGGTGATATGCATATTAATATTTGTTTTTCTTCATTTGTTTGTCTTTATTTGAGAAATTTGTTTATTTGTTTTGTCACATTGTGCACATTGTTTTTTCTGTTGACTGCTGCTAAGTGCTAACACACAGCACCATTGCCGTGTTAGCAGACAGGAGACATGATTTGAACACAAAAGCTGTGTTTCAGCCCTTAGTGTTGGCCAAATTTAGATCTTTTCAGCCCTTATTCAGCCATATTTGGATAGTTCTCTATATACCGTGATTTGGATATAATATGCTAGAAATAAACTTGAAGTTACTTTACCCCAAACATGAGCAGTACTCGTTTGGTTTTGCCTTTTATAGCCGTGTATTTGCTGAATTTGGGGACGACGGTGAAAACAGGGCGCCTGGGGGCTGGGGCGAGTTAATCAAGGTTCGTGAAATTCACATGTGACGTTTAGCATGTAGAAGGCCCACGCAAGGGGAGAAGTTTCAAATTTCACGTGACTAATATGCCCTCCGGCGCCCTGTTGGCTGTTTTCACCGGCGTCCAATTTGGGCTGGGTTACTGTTACAGGCAGACTTTGGGTTTACATAGTGTGAGTTCATTTCTGCAGCATCTAAATAGCAGCTTATTCACAAATATGAAATAGCAAACATCCGTCTTTCAGAAGATCAATATTTGCAAATATCAACATTGATGTGCTGGGTGTAACTAGTTTATTTCAATTTCTCATAAAAAACTTGATGGTGGCTACTGGCTGCCGGCTGGTGGGTAGTCAAGGAATCCTCATTACTCGAAAGCTTGTGCACACTCAAGTGCACACTTTTAGTGCCACAACACAACAAATCATTAATGAAATAGGTACATAATTCAGCATTTCCAGTTCATCCGACAAATTGGGCATGCTAAATAGGAAAGGGCTAAAGCTTGAAATTCATTATTTTAATTTATTATGTATCTACCCACATTTAATTAGAAGATTCAGAAAGGTTTGGGATGCAGTTTTCCATGGATGGAACTTGGAACATAAATGCCTTATGCTTACCTCCCTTGTAGGTCCTCTAACTTTTTAGAGTTTGATTCAGTTTGCATCACAATGAAATTTAAACCAGGCTTTATTTCAAATAGACATTGACATGTTATCTTTCAAGATATGAGATTATGAAAGAGCTTTGTTAATTGTCTATAGGTTCTGTGGAAGGTTCAAATGCCCTTAACTGCCCATTTGAATCAACTATAGTGGAGCAGCATTGCAGCATAGGCATAGGTGAAACTGGCCAGTCTCCTTGTCTCTCAACATCAAACACTAAGTTTTGACTAATGGTTGAAGCTGTGCATGCTTCTCTTTTGTGTTCTATATAATACAACATTTTGCTCAATGTTAAAAGGACTTATCATAATCTGTAGGTTAGGTATGGCTTGTATCATGCTCTGTAGGTATTTGATGGGTGTCTGCCTTTTCCAGAGTATAACAATGGAGGTGGAGCAGGACCATAGTTTCCTGGGTCCGATCACTTCCCTGTGTTGTCATCTGACAGTCGGTCAGAATCCGGCGGACGCACCAGCCATCACCACTCCACAGCTTAAGAAGATCAGGGCCAATGCACTAAAGAATATTTTGTTCCCAGATGCATCTAAAAATGGTAAGAACTGAGGGGCATAGAACTTGGAAGTCTTTTGTACGAGACATTTACTACGTGCTAAATGTTTAATGCAATTATGCATAACTAGTTGTGCGTTTGTGGTATGCCAGTTACCCACATATAGGTAGTCTGCTGTTCTTCCTGGTCTTTTCCTGTAGCAATGTTTTTTTTTCTGTTGACCGTATTAAATCAAACTTGCAAAGATGTTTGAACTTTGCTCTGAGCCAGCTATGTGACCAAACCCCCACCATCCCTCCCCAGCAGCCGTCGCGCCGGTCTCGGAGCTGTGCCGTCTGCACGGCGTCTGGTTTCTGCTCAACTCGGCCGGTCAGCAGGAGCCGGCCGCTCGGCTGCACGGCCTGCTGGAGAGGCTGGGACCCGACCCGCCGCCGGCCGTGCGTGCCGCGCTGCGACTGCTGCTGGCCCTCGCCGACCGTCGGCTGGGACAACAGCCGTCACCGGCGCCGCTAGGACGCTTCGGCACGCGCGTCAGCTACGAGGTGGGTGGCAGTCGCGAGGGATAATGGAGGACATAGTTCAGATGAACGATGGAGAGGAATCGAGATGGAACAAGGAAGTGTAATATTGCAAGAGGAAAGGGTAGAAAATACTGTTGGATACACATTTTCAACAGATTTAACCAATTTTACCTTCTTAAAATATGTTTTGTTATGGATTTGCGATGGAAGGCTGATATAAAGTTCTAGAATGGATAATGGATAATTGTCTAAGTAACTTAACGTATTTCTACCAGTGAACTAGCCCCTGACCCCGCTCTCTGTCTCGCTAGGCGCCATGGCAGCGCGGCCCGCCCGTCTACAGTACCGAGTATATGGCGCCGGAGGACTCGCGCCATTTCATGGAGTACCCGGCGCGCGCTTTTGCGGCCGACCCGCGCCTCCCGTCGGACGGCGCGCCGCGGGCGGGGCTGTTTGACCTGCCGCCCGGTCAGGGGGTCAACATGTTCGGCCAGTCGCTGCTCTCAGAGCCCGGAGGGTGAGTGGAAAATGATGGTGGGGTGGGGCTGGGAGGGTGTCTATTTTTTCTTTTTTACTGATGTCTTTCGCGTGCAACTGAGATGAAGTTGTGTTCACAAGCCAGGCAATGATTCTTATTTCGTGTTCCATTTTAATGAGCTGGAATTTGCGAGTTATGAAACGAAATTCAGTAGTGTTCTTAATTTTTGCGCGTTTGAACAGGTCTAACCAGTATTCGCGGGTCAAAGTTGTGTTTTCTAAGCAATATGTAGAGGCTCTCACCTTGTAGTTAATGTAACGAACACTTTGGCTACTCAATACCGAATTAAACTCGCTTCCAAAGGCCTTTTTGCCACACTCGTGTCGCCGCAACCTAACCCCGTTGTGTTTCCTCGGCAGACCGCTAGGGGCGCTGGTGCAGAGCCGCAGCACGGCCGGCCCTGGGGAGCGGCTCCGCCTGCCTCCCCTGCCGGCCGACCCGCGTCGCGTGCCGTTCGCGCCAGAGACTCTGATTCGGGAGGCACCCACGACGGCCCTGTCCCGGTCCCGGCCCCGACAGAAGGGCGGGAGGAGGACGCCAGAGCGGGGAACAGAGGTGAGGCGGAGGTGGGATAGACTGAGGGGAATGAATTGAGGTGAAGTAGTTTTATGACGTGCTTTCTTGGACCTTTTTTAAGAGTGACTGCGTATAAATAATAATGAAAACGTGAAATTGATGTATGGGTGGCATTCGGTCATTGATTAATTATCATTTATCACGTTGATGTTAAAAGTATGTATAGTCTCGAAATCGACGTGTAACCTATGACGACTTCTGAGCGGTACGTCCCGCCCTATTACCACCTCATCTAAAGCCGTGCTCACCTGTTCCACAGACCCCTCTCCCGTCCGCCCGGAGCCCGTCGCCGGCCGGCTCTGACGCCCCAGACAGCTGGGAGGCGGCGGCGCGCGGCCCGCCCACCAGCGGCCGGCTGTGCTGGGAGCAGCGCGGCCGGCGCCAGTACCGCCGCCAGCCGCCGCCGCTCACCCAGGCCGGCCCGGCGGCGGTACCCCTGCTGCGGCGACTGCTGCTGAGCTGGGGAGGCGCCACCGTCACCGCCCCCCAGCCGCTGCCGGTGGAGCAGCTGCTGGCCCAGCTGCGGCTCATGATGATGGGACTGGACACGGAGAGCTTTCCGTATGACCCAGCAGCCGGGACGTTCCGGGTGGCCGATGGTCTCTGCACGGAGCGCTGCAGTCCGGAGGCGGTGGCGGCGCGCTGCGGCGCCTGGGTAAGCTGCGGTTCGCGCTGCCGCCGCGTGGCGGCGCTGGTGGCGGCAGGAGGCAGCGGATGTCTGACGGAGCGAGCGTTCGCCACTGCTGTGGAGCCGTGTCTGCGAGGATACCGCGCTGCGCTGGCGGAGGTTCGGGCGGACACACTCGCTGAGTTCGGCCGCCGTGTACGGCCGCTGGTCAGACTGATGGCGCTGCTGGCCGATGTGTGCTGCGTCACAACTAGTGATTCGGAGCTGCCGCAAAAGATGGCGCTGGTGTCGCACCTGTACGAGCGCCTGGTGGGGGCTTCCGAGCGCGCGGAGTGGGCTCTGACGGCACACCTCTTCAGGACCACGGTCACACCCTACCTGGGGTAAGTGTGCAGCGGTCGTTTGGGCATTTTGGTTTCTCTGATAACACTTTTTGGCTAATTGGCTATCTCATTGACATGACACTGCATTTGGTTGTTTATCGTAGATTTAGAGTTCCAATGAAGCTGTTTTTTTAGGCATGACATTTGCCCTATTTACTTACATCTGCTGCCACCACTTTTCCATTCAGATAGCACTCTTCACCGTCATGTAGTTACCTGCCTTCCCGTCCCAGGTTCCTGACGGGCTGGCTGCTGGAGGGGGTCTGCCGGGATCCGTACGATGAGTTCCCGGTCCGTCAGCTACCAGCCGCCGCCAGTACCACGGACGAGACGTTCTGGACGTCTGCCTACGAGCAGGTGCCCGGGGGCACCGACAACGACCACCCCAGCTTCCTGAAGGTCCGTCGGCTTACGTAGTCAAGTCAGCCTTGGGTAGCTTAGTGCAGGGTTCCGGCTTTGGTTGATGAAGGTTTTAATTGCCAATGGGATGGTGCTGATTTACAGTGGTGATATCCGAGAGTTGCATTATGGTTGGTAGATCGCCATGGTGTTCTGCTCAGATATGCATTTTGAGACCGAGTGTTTAATTATAGATGGGTCCCTAATATCCCAGATTTGCAACAGCTGTATAAGCGCAGTAACGCTTATGACAGACACTTCAACAAATTAACCGACGGTGTATCATTCGTCTGCAATGCACACATTGCCGGACTACCCTGCAGCTGACCTCCCCACCTCCCTGCTCGCCCTTTCAGAACCTCTCTGTGGGTATGTACCAGTGCGGCAAGGCGCTGAGCCTGCTGCGACTGTGTGACTCGGGACACCCGCTGGTGCAGCCGCCGGCCGATCTCCGCGTCCGGCTGGCCTTCAGTCTGACCGAACTGGGGGAGATTGAACACCAGGTGGTCAGGTGAGGATTTTGGGATGAAGGTAATTGTAGTTTGACACACTCTGATGTAGGATTAACACTAAGGACATAGTGGTTTAGTTGCGGCGTTCAAAACATTCTTTGATTGAGGGATTCGACGTCTGATGGGAAGGCATTGGACAAAACCCCTGTTTTCTATAGCTCCGATTTACTGAGCCTGCCTGCCTGCTATGTTTTATCACTTATTCTAAAACGTGTGCCACACTTACCATTGGACCGCTTGATTCTCAGTTTCGTATTGAACATCCAATAACGTGACCGCCTGTATCGGCAGTTACGAGGCGGCGATGCAGTGTCACGTGGCCAACACGCTGTCCCGCCAGCTGTCTGAGCAGCGTCACCAGGAGCAGGAGCTGGAGCGGTCGGCCGGCCGGCGGCGCCAGTCGGCCATCAGCTCCATACAGGGTAAGAAGTACGCAGACCAGATCCTTACAGGGTATGAACGAGAACCAGCTCCGTACAGGGTGTGTACGAGAACCATATCCATACAGGCCGGCGACGCCAGTCGGCCATCAGCTCCATACAGGGTAAGTACGAGAACCAGCTCCATACAGGGTTTGAACGCATACTGCGGCACCATACAGGGTGCGTACGCTAACAGCTCCATACAGCGGTATGAACGTGAACTGCGGCTCCATGCAGGGTAAGTACGCGAACCAGTTACATACAAGGTACTTAAGCGAACCAGCTCCTTGCAGGGTATGAACGCGAACCATTTCCATATAACAGGGTACGTGCGCGAACCACGGCACTCATATATGTAGCGTTATAACGTGCAATCATTAGTTCACCGCTGGGAAGTGAATTGGGAAAGACGTCATGAATTGGATCCCGCCGGACTGACAGGCTACTTTTGAGCGGGGTAGTCAATGCAGCCGAGACGGACAGATTCGAGTGTGGGCCTCCTTATACGATATACAGGACCTCAACAGCCTGCTCGATGAGACAGCCTGCCTACCAGCTGCTCGATCTCAGCGATCCCTTAGATATTCACTAGCTTCTCGTCGTGTTTGCATACGTCTGTCAATATTTCACTACGTAGGACCACTATCGTCTGCCTTTTTGCAGTCCGTATTATAAAAACTAACTTTTGCCATTTCTAGGGATTCAAGCCAAGTGTATAACGTTCTGCAGTCTTCATGGCTTCATTCGGATGAATTATTGACCTAACATTTCCTGAAGGTTCTTAACTTCATTTAGCTGATGTGTTAGTACTTGTACACACTTCTTGATGTCACTAGGTCCGGTGACAGACCGTTGCAGACACCAGTTACCGAAGTTCCGCCCTCGAACTAACTGATTTCTGTTTGAGTTTGCTGACAGCCGAAAGCCGTCTCGGCTTTTGTTATGTTCATTTGTTTTCAAGCAGCGCAGTCAATATGTGTTCATCGGGAAGTTTCTTTACAGTTTGTGCCGGTACTTTCCAAGTACCGCGCACACCAGTTACCCAGAAAAGTTTGTGTTTCAAAACAGCTTGCGCGCTCTAGGATTTGCCTGATGTTTTGACCGGTCGCTGCTTATCGCCCAAACAATATTAGATAGAGCGTGATGTTTTCTTAGAGCATAAACAGCTTCAAGTATCTGCAAGCTGCGTGGTCCTCTGTCGCTGTCACTTCCCTAGATTACGTTTCTAGTCACATTTTCTCAGTTTTCCCTCCGGCTTCCATGCAGCTTCTTCTTGTATGGCACCGTTTCCATTTTGTATTTTCGCTGTACAAACAAGGTGATATTGATATGCGTAAAAAAACTACCATTGGCATCATATTTTAAGGTCAGTTCGTTTTTGTGTTTGTGGGCGACTCAGTTTCTTGTGCAAATCACAGGTCCTAATGCCATTCATACAATCCATCCACTGGTACGCAGAGACAATGCTGGCGCAGCGGCGGCGTCGCGCCGACCAGAAGCGGCAGCTGCTGGAGGAGCAGCTGCAGGACGTGGAGCGCAGCCGACAGCTGCAGCGGCAGCTGCGGCTGCAGGACCGACTGGAGACTGAGAGGGCAGAGGGCGAGAGGCGGCAGGACGAGATCACCGCCCTGAGGAGAGAGAACGAGACGAGGTGAGAAGGGGGAGGGAAGAAACAGGGGAGAGGGTCAATGGGATGAGGCAAGAGACTGGGATAAAATGCTTAGACTCTTGGAGATGCGGGAGACGGATATTCAACGTTGGAGAGAGACGGGCGTGAGTACGGTGTGCCTTCAACGATCGGTGTACTCTAACAATAGCATGGTATGACGTCAGACGCTGCGAATTTATGTTATCTAATGTGAAACTTGGATGTTATTGTTGTGCTTTGAAACTTTGGAAGCTGTCGTACTTTTTTGCATTGTTCATGTTATATAAGACTATTTTTTATCAGAACTCTGCATCAGAAAACAAAGCAAAAAAGTTCAGTGCAACACTACAGTTTGAACATTAATTTCGAAGCCAGTGTGGGGATGTTATACGTAATGCGTATGCTGTTCTTTACATCATTGAAACCATCAATTATCACAACTCGTTGCCGCGGCTGTGAGCGCTCATGTTTCCTTGCTATTATGGCATTTCGCTCGGTGTTTGCTCTCTGCCGTGCCTGATTCTCTCCCCTCCCGACACCTCAGGTTGGCGCGTCTGCAGCGCCTCACCACGCCAGAACAACTGGCGGAGATGAGACGTCATCTGAAGCTGGATGAAGCAGAGAAGGATAAAACTGCCCTGACCTCCACCGCCGCCAGCACCGGCAAAGGAACTGACAAAGCCACCACCCGCGCAGCCGACACCTCCGAACCGATGGTGACCAGCGCCGATCCGAGCCCCGACACGGAGACGGCGCCGACCGCGTCTCCCTCGGCGTCTCCGTCGGCGGAGACAACAACAGCGGCGTCTCCGAGCGGCGAGCCGACCTCTGAGAGCAGCTGTACGGACAGAACGGCCACGGGAGACACTGCCAACGATATCACAGAGAGGGTCCTGGACGGAGGCGCCAGCGAGGAGCGCACAGTGGGGGCAGTGGATAACGTGAAACTGGATAAATCCACTCCGGGGGTCGCTGGTGAGAGAAGTAACGGTATCAAAACGACAGATGTGATTGATAATAAACCAGGAGTTGACACGGAGGGAAACACTGACAACAGGACCAGTGGTTCAACTAGCGACACCATCACAAGAGCTGATGACGCCTCCAACGCGAATGTCGCCCCACTCTCGCCTGATGAGAACGCTAACGCTTCGAGCGACACACTCACCACGGCTTCCCACGCGTCCGTCCTCGCCAAGACGGGCTCTGACGCCACACAGGCGACGTCTGACGTCACCCTGGCGGCGTCTGACGTCATCAGGGACACAGTGGACTCTTCTCCGTCCCGCGCGGCGCTGGCGGAGCGCAGGAGACTGATCCGGCGCAGGGCGCTGGGCGAGGATGGAGGCGTGGGTGGCGCCGGCACCGAGCCCGTCCTGGTGGACCAGATCGGTGGAGAGGTGAGGAAAGAGGGGTGGGATGAGGAAGAGAGGTGAGGAAAGAGGTGGGGAGAGGCGGGGAGAGGCGGGGAGGCGGATAAAAAGGAGAATTGTAGAGGATGAAAGGAAAAATGGACGGAACTGATGTATTGGTGCGATGAAAATGGCCACAGTGGATGTGAATTTTTAAATGCGCCATATTCTATAGTGGATTGCTCATTGCAACCAAGCCTCTGAAGTAATACCACAGGCTCAAAAGTATGATCGCAACACGTCACAGGTTACACTTTTAACGTGACACACGACACAGCTCAGTCAGTGCCTCTATAATTTAGTAACACTTCATCCTGTGGTGCAGCTTAGGGCCTATGGTATCTCTAAAATTTGGGCACCTTGAAATGCCAAACATCATCATCATATGATGCATCCCGGCGCGAGTATCATCTCAACTCAAACCAATGTATTCTCCCAGTCATGATGTGCTCGGTGCTCCTCACGGGGACCAATACGTGTGCCAAATTTGCCGCCATGTACGGCTTTTGCCACCCGTCCTTCGGCTTAAAGGCTCCACGCGCTACGACCTACCGCGCCGTTGAATAGCTGAGCCGCTATGGGTTAACGAGCCGTCACATTATCCGCGTAAACTCTTCACCTCAGTCCTGGGGCCTGCCTGCGGGGGATATTTCATCAATGTTCAATATTCCACGGAGCTCCTATCGTTCGCTGCCAGTCCGAGGTGGAGAGGCCAAGGTTGCTCGTTGTTGGCATGCGGTGGTGTCATTAATTTGACTTGGAGTCATGACGGGACTGCGCTTTGATTGGTGTTTGTAAGATGATCTAAGAAATTGTGCGGGATGAAATTTGTATGCTTAGTTAATGATTGAATTTCAAATTTCCTAAGCAAATGTCTCCTCCAGTTATCGCAGAAATATCATGATCGTTGTAATGTTGCCAGTCATGTTTCTGCTTATGTTTGGCTTAAAATTTGTAACGCTTCTGCCTTTCCCGTTACAGATTAATGTGCCTAGAGGTTGTCACACATTTTTTCGCCTTTGTCGCCTAACCTCCTCCATTTTTCTCCCTTCTCGACAGGTGCTGCGGCGCCGTGGCCGCAACATCCACGGCCATGCCACGGACTCTGTCATCGAGCGCCTTCTGTACCGCGGCGGCAGTGGCGCGGGCGCGGCGAGCGGCGGCGCGGCGGCGGCCAAAAGTGACGCGCCGGTGCCAACTCCCGGCCGCCGCCGAC